TACTAGTAGCGATGGCCTCCAACCTACTAGCTTTTTGCTACTAGTAGTGATGGCCTTGAAGCTAATAGTAATCTACCTTTGCGTTTGAATCGACTTCTCAGACTTCTCAAGTTCTCTTCGCCTCGGTGTGGCCGCGAGCGCCGAATCTGCCCCGGCCGAGCCTCTTCCTCACGGCGGATCGGCTGTGCATGGCTTTGAGCTTTACAATCGATCCAGCCTCTTTCCGAATTTGTTCAAAAAATAGCGAAAACACGCCCAAGCCTCCCAAGGTGGATAGGGCATTGGAGCACCAGCACTACGAGTCGGAGGCGCAGGCACTGCAGAGGGTGGCATGGTCGCTGCAGTAGGCCCTACAGCTTTAGGCATTGCAGGCACTGCAGGCATTGCAGGCACTGCAGCTGCAGGAGCGGCAGGAGCCGCCGGAGCCGGTGCGGGAACCGGACCAGGCAGCCAAGAAAAGGCCTGCATGAAATTCAAAACAAAAGCACAAAATGAACAGATCACGAATCAAGTCTCAAAGGAAGCTCAAACCTGGCAAGCTCTGTTTCTCTTTTCGTTGCGGTTTCGTGTGGCATTGTTGCGGTTCGTCAGTTTGTCCAACCGAATGTTCCTGTTGTCTTCAGGAGCCCTGTTCGTAGCGTCCTTGCTCCTAGTACGGCCAGGAGGCTGTTGTGTGCTCTTTCCGGCTGTTTTGCTTTGCCGCGCACTTAAACTTACAGCTCAACCTGATGTTTCATGAGCTGGGCAAAAATACGTAAGCGTTCTCGACGTTGGCCTTGAAGGCGCAAAGCCGGCTGTCTTGCAGAAAACATACAACAATCGAACAAACAGAACAACAGGCCTTTTCACTTATTCCCATTTCGACTCTCGCGTCCTTCTCTTTCTTTCGCAGATACAATTGGATCTCATTCAGTTGGACGATGGCCTCCAACCTACTAGCGATGGCCTCCACCCTAGTAGCTTCTTGCTCCCAGTAGCGATGCCCTTTGCTCCTAGTAGCTTCTTGCTACTAGTAGTTTGGCCAGGAGTTCCTAGTAGGGTCCTTGCTCCTAGTAGCGAGGCCCTTTGTTACTAGTAGCGATGCCAAGAAAACACGACAGTCCTCTCGCCGACTCGAGTCAAGAGGAAGCACGAAGGTCGATCGGTCTCTGCCTCACTCACAGGCTCCGCAGGCTCGGATCGTCCAGGACCTCAGGAAGCAGAATTTACTAGTTTTGTTGTTTGTATGCCTTCCAGCGTGACTATTATTTTTTGTTACTAGTAGCGATGGCCTCCACCTAGTAGTTTCTAGCTCACAAAGTAATGAAAAAGTGAAGGTGACATCTCATGCAAGACAATCTATGCACTTTGGTCTCTGGGCAAACCTATCAAAAATGAGAAACCAGATTCTGACTGTTGGAAGTGTTTTGTCCGCATCGCGGATTCTCATTTAGCTGCTCACCCGGCGACTTTGGCGGTGGACCGCTACCGAGGACCTCACACAAAGCATCCAAAAACTCTTACTTGGTGGAAATCCTGTCCCTGAACTTGTGTCATTTTGTAAAGCATCCAAACAGTTTGTTCTACTTACAACCTTGCTTTCCAAGTTCAACACAGGTGTTCCAATCCAAACCCATCCTTGTTCGCAATATGTTGCTTTCCGTTGCATAGTGATGTGCTTCTCTTCTGTTTGATGTCTTTTGATTTCCATAGGAATTGGTTGTTCTTCTGCGCTAACATCGTAGGAGAAACAAAGAGGAGCGGAAAGAGAGTTAAGTTTCCCAAAAAATCTAAGAACCAAATCCTTAAGGCTCAGGCTTCTTCAAGGAAGCTACCCCCCCTGCCCTCCTGCGTTCCAGCTACTAGTAGCTGCCTAGTTATATAGTAGCTACTACTAGTAGTTTACTTCCTCCTGACGCCCCACCCCCTGTTAAGATATACATATTACATGTTTTTTACTTTAAATACATTACATGTTCATAATGGAGTCTTTCTTGTCACGTGCTTTGGCGACCCACCTGGGCAATGCGCTTCAACTCATGGCCTCGGATGGCTGGGACCGCATCCATCTAGTAGGAAAGGCCTCCAACCTCGTAGCTTCTAGCTACTAGTAGTAATGCCCTTGTTTCTAATAGCTTCTTGTTACTACTAGCGTGGCACTTGTTACTACTAGCGTGGCACTTGTTCCTAGTAGCTTCTAGC